CTGCACAATTGCTGAATAGCACAGTACATTTTGTGACTAATCCTTATGAAGTTCTCTCTTGCAGTGAAAATAAGGCTAAAGCTTTTTAATTTTCAGAAATAGTTACGAAAAACCAACACCAATCCAAGCACAAGCAATCCCTGCAATCATGTCAGGACGGGATATGATAGGTCAGTGATTGACAATGCATGCATAATGTGCTTAATTGTATAATAATATGTGTAAATTATTCATGAACAAACACCTCTGTGTCTTTCATAGAAAAAAACTACAAAAATTCACCATCTTTGATTGTCCGAAGATTAAGGTCTTAAAAAACTTCTCACTTTACTCAAATACCCATAAAGGTCTCCCACTCATATTTTATATATTACATAGACAATAATTATTTCCAATATGTATTGAACAGTAGTAGAAACAGACCAAAAAAATTAATATCATTCTGCAGGTATTGCTAAGACAGGAAGTGGTAAAACGCTGGCATTCCTGATTCCAATGTTTAGACATGTTAAGGATCAACCTCCTTTAGAACGAGATGAAGGACCAATTGGTGAGATGACAGCATTTCTGAAATATTCATAAATATGCAAGCTGCTGGTGTTATTACTCCTATCGTCTGGAGTTCACCAAGCCTAGTGAATTCTGAACATTCACAGAATGTCTAGGTTTATGATGATTTTTGAGAGGTCCTTTTGAGGGAGTGCTCTTTTAATTTGATGCTTGAACGCTCAGTGGCAATTTTTGTGCGTTCAAGCATCAAAATTTGCATGAGATTTACTGATACCATATGAAACATGCAGTTGCTGACAATAAAATTACATTCTTTTCCAGGAATTGTCATGACTCCAACGCGAGAGCTTGCCATTCAAATCCATCGAGAGTGTAAAAAGTTTTGTAAAGCATTAAACTTACGGACAGTTTGTGTCTATGGTGGCACAGGAATTAGTGAGCAGGTGATAAAAGTGAATCAATCTTGATGATAGGTTTTTTTAATTCTTTAATCTACTTAACTAATAAGTAAAATTGCATGAGTGTGAGCAGGGCTCGAAGTAACAGTCAAAGGACAATGTCCTTCCAAATTCCCTAGATGACTGGCCAAATCGGGTTATGAAAAGACATATTGAATGAATTTGGAAGGACATCTTGTCCTGCATGTGTCTGGCCATATTTAATGTATTTTGAACAGTAACACACCAAGGACAAGAAAGTATTTTGTTTCAATGTTTTAGAAATTCCATAGTCTTACTGGGCAGTACATAATGTAATTGCTTTTTGTTTTAGATTGCAGAACTCAAACGCGGTGCCGAGATTATTGTATGTACTCCAGGAAGGATGATTGACATGTTGACAGCAAACAATGGTGAGGTTTGCATAAATCAGGAAAGTCATCAAAACTGTCAAAAAGTACTTGAATTTTATTCAATCGACAGTTGCTTTAAAGTTTTTGTTTGAAATGTTTAAAAGCACAAATGTCTGGAAACATCAAATGCAACTTAAAAGATCATCCTTGAAAATTAACATTTGCTGCTTCAAAATCACTTCAAAAGTACTGGAATTTTGTGGTGAAAACATGAAATGAACCTTGATTTTTAATGCTGAATTGTTTGTCATTTTTGTTGGAGTTCTAGTTTGTGCCAATGAATCACCAGTTAAAATAATTGTGTCCAAATAGGCCGTGTTACCAACTGTAGAAGATGTACATATTTGGTGCTTGATGAAGCTGACAGGATGTTTGACATGGGCTTTGAACCACAGGTACTTAAACTGTTTTCCAGGTTTGAAATGTACAGTCCAGCCACAAAATCAAGCATTCCTCTTTGAAATACAGCAATTTTATTGTTACAAAGCCATTATTCCTTTGAACAATTGAAAAAAGAATTCTGCTAAAAACTTTATTTTTACTCTCTCTTTAATGCCTTCATGGACATATTCAAAGTTTTATGTTTTTAGAAAGCATTGTGAAATTCTTTACCTAGTAATAATATTCTTGTTGACTTGAATAGGTTATGCGGATCATAGACTGCATTAGGCCTGACAGACAGACAGTAATGTTCTCTGCAACATTCCCTCGTCAAATGGAAGCTCTTGCCAGAAGAATTCTAGATAAACCTGTTGAAATTCAAGTTGGTGGTAGAAGTGTTGTCTGCTCAGATGTCGACCAAAATGTGGTAAGTAATTATACTTATTTGAATTCACTACTGGCTTTTGAATGTT